TTTCATAACAAGCACGGTTTTGAACAATAAGCACAAGTCGGCCCATGAGGTTAGCCTAGCCTCTGCTGACGTGCCATGGAGCCAAGGTCTCCTGGACATAGCGTCCCCTGCACAAGCCTAGTCAGACCACACGCGGTGGGGGTGCCAGGCCTTAACTTCACTGGTCTGCCCCGGGCCGCTAAAGTGGGGGTATGCCATGCATCAGGACCGGAGCCTCTCGCCTGAGAGGCTGCCCGGCCTGATCGCCAAACTCGCCCAGAGCAGCACCCGTGAAAAAGGCCATCGCATGCAGGGTAGGACGCTGTTGCCCCTAATCCCCCTCCCGTAGGGTCTTTGGGATCTAGAGGGCTCGTTCTACCCGCTCGTCCCCAACTAGGGTTAGGTCTTGCAGTGGGCGTTGTCTGAACGCACTGGGTTTTTTGTTTCCCAGGTGTTTTGACACGCGCGAATCATGACCGCCCATGTTCGCCCACGCCCAGCTGGCTTCTGGCTCAGCTGGCCCCGACCTAACCCGAGTTGGGGCCATGCATAGCGTGTGAGCTTCTTTTTCGCCCGCCCTCCCTTGCCCTGCTCACTCAACGCCAGACTCCAAACACTCTCCACATAGCCGACAGCCCTCTGCCTTGAGAGTGGAGTAGCCCAGTACACTGCCTCCCAAAGCGGAGTAGCCCAGTACACTGCCGCATTATTGCCTCCCAAAAAGAGGAGTAGCCCTCGCCTTTACTGCCACAAACCCTCACAAGGGGGGTATGCCATGCATCAGGACCGGAGCCTCTCGCCTGAGAGGCTGCCCGGCCTGATCGCCAAACTCGCCCAGAGCAGCACCCGTGAAAAAGGCCATCGCATGCAGGGTAGGACGCTGTTGCCCCTAATCCCCCTCCCGTAGGGTCTTTGGGATCTAGAGGGCTCGTTACCCGCTCGTCCCCAACTAGGGTTAGGTCTTGCAGTGGGCGTTGTCTGAACGTAGTAAGCCGCCAGAGCGGATGTGATGGCTCCATTGGTTTCGCTGCTTGTGTAGTAGCTGCCCAGGGTGGCCAGCACCCAGGACTCGCTGGCCAGGGGGGCCAGCAGGGCATTGACCTCTCCTCCCTGCGTGTACGCATCGCAGGCCAGGCTCAGCGTGAAGTTGTCGTTCTCGAGGGAGACGCTCAGGGGAAGTGCCAGTTCCTAATCGTGTTCATTCCGACCAGCAGATCCCAGGTGGTCTGTCCGGGCCATGCCTGGGCGTTGGCGAGGTTCGTGCCGCCGCCCGTGGTCAGTGCGGCCAGTGCTGCGTTGAGCGCATCGATGATGGCGCTCTGCAGACTTGTTTCGGAAGCCGACAGGTCCGCCGTCGCAAAGGGCCCCGCGCCTTGTTGCAGTGCCAGGATCTCCGCATCGTGCCCGTCGAGTCGAGGCGCGCATCTCGCACGGCCAGCAGTGCGTTGAGCCCCGCAGTGTCCGTGTACCCCGCGAGTGCGGTGGCAAGAGCTGCAGCCACGTCGGCAGCCGACTGGAAGCCCGCGGCTTGCAGCACCGCCAGGGCCGCCTCGGCGGCGTCGAGTCTCCCGTCTCGAATGGCAAGGGCGGCGTCCAGTGCCGCCTGCTGCACGAAAGGGAGGAGCGCCGTAGCGATGAGCTGCGAGACATCTGCGGGTGTGGTGCGCAGGGCCACTGTGCTGTTGAGGTCGGTGCTTGTGCCCAGCGGAGATGCCCTGCATTTCGATGGTGGCGATGGGGGTTTGCCCGTCGTTGAGGATGTTCCGGTGATGGTGGACTCAAAAAGACTCATGTTTTACTTGCTATCAGTCGAGGCTCGAGACGCCCGCCGAGCTCAGAGTGCACAACTGATGCGAGAGCATGTGCACAAAACACTGGTCCGCGCGGTCCGCCTCCATGTTGCTGAAGCTGAAGCGGCACAGGTCGCCGGAGCGGGTTGAGATGCCCGAAAGCGGGTGCTTCGGTACCCTTTCGACCGGGAAGGCCGCGATGAACTGCGTGTTCCCGTAGAGGTTGTCCCGGATGCGCATGTTGCGCAGTTTTGAGATCTCGAGAAAGTGATGCCATTCGGCGATGCTCTCGTTCGCCGTGCGAGGGTACTGCAGCGCACCCAGCTGCAGCTGGCCCTTGAGGTTCCGGTTCGCATTCGCTCCAGGGTACTCGAAATTGTCCACGTGATCCTCCGTGGTCTTGTTGAACGTCACGAAAGCGCCTAACATTTTGGTAAATGCACGACCAACGACGATGTTGTAGCTGGTGGACCCTGCGGGGATGCTGGAGAGCTGTGTGTGGATGGTCGGGAAGGAGAACACGAGGCTGCGACCACTGGTCATGATTCTCTGGGAGCTCGCGAAGAGCCGAGTCGAGGGTAACTTGCGAGGCGTAGAGCTTCACGTTCTCGATGGTGTAGTCCTGGCTCCCGCTGACGTTGCGGGCCCCGTCCGTGGGGTCGCAGAAGGTTATTTGAAGGACGAGGTTGAGTTCGGGCGGGAGCATTTTGCCGCAATTCAGGATTCCAATGAGATGCGGGCTCATGAGAACGGTGCGGGAGCCCGAGGCCGGGATCTCCTCGGCGTGGCCCCCGCCGTCCGCCAAAAAGCCCTGGATGTGCCGGTTCAGCCACCACTCCTCCGGCTTCAGGAGGCTGTACAGGTACGAGCAACGGTTGTAGTAGCTAATGTCCTCGATGCGAGTGCCATTGGCGAAGACTTCTATGCTGTCAATAAGGCAGCTTGGGTCGGGACTGGCGAGCTGCAGCGTGGCGTGCCGGAGTTGTTGCGCACCGTGAAGCCGAGCTTGACACTCTCACCGTCCACGAACGATTGACAAACTTGAAGGGTAATAGACCACATCGGCTCTTGACTGCACGTAATTGACGTTGGAGGTCTCCAGCTTAAACGACAAAGATTGAACCAACTCATCATTGACGGCAGCAGTTACCTGCTCCATACTGTTTACTTTAGCGAAAGATTCATGCGGCCTCCGGCTCGCTCGCGCTGCGAAGCGCCTCGAAGGACGGAAACGGCGCGGCGCGGGACCTCTGCATGCGAGGCCCGCGGGAGGAGTCGCTGTCCGAGGACTGCGCCAGTGGAGCGGGGTTCAAGCCCGTGGGGAAGCGCGTGGGCCTCGCGGGACGAGCCTGCACCCTCGGGGGCGGCTGTGCCCGCGGCTCCGATTCGCCGTCGGTGTCCACGCGGTAAAACTGTGTCCGCGGGCGTTGCCGTGAGGCCGGTGGCTCTCGGAGCTGGAAGTGCTGCTCAGCTCCAAACTCCTGCATGCCGTTGAGAGTCTGAATGTCTGGGGCCGAGCTGTCGGTGCCGCCCAGCAAATGTTCTGCGGCCACCATGCCGCCGTGCAGTGCCCAGGCGGTTCCCACAAGCGCCGCTGCCCCACCCGCCACGGCAAGGCCTGCTGCTGCTGCTCCCATGCCCGCAGCCGTGCCCAATGCAGCCTCTCCAAACAGCGCCAACGCTCCTGGCCCCTCCGCTGCAGCTGCCGCTTCTGCGGCCCCCGCAGCCACTTCTGCGGTGGAAGCGAAGCCTTCGGTCGCCTCGGCCTCGGCCACCTGCTCGCTCATGAACTGCTCGATGTCTCGGGCTGCAGCTCTTTCCACCTCCTGGGCTCGCTGTCCCGCCCGCTCCAGAAGCGGCTCCACTTCACTCGGCCGGCCGATGATTTGGGGTGGAGCTACTTCGTCGGGTGGGGGCGCAAGACCTTCGGGTGTGCGCGGAATGCGTAGGTTCCGGTCGATCCAGTTCCTTCCCCTGCGCGCTGCATTGTATAGGTCTTGTCCGTGCCCCGCAATGGCAGAGGCAGAGCCCGCCAATCCCGCTGCAGCTCCCGCGGCGGCTTCCGCCTGCTGCATCCGGCTGAGGACGCTTGGCGGTGCTGGGGGCTGAAACCCGTCGTTTCTCAGAGCCTGCCCGGGGTCCACGGCCCCAAAATCCGGTTCGCTGTCCATGTCAAAGGGCCGTGGGCGCAAAAAATCCCGGCGGGGGAAGGGCACTCCATCGTAGCCTTCGTTGGCATCCTCGTAGGCTGCTGCAGGGTCCACGATCGTGTGGGGCAGCGGGGCTGGCTCGGGCTCGGAGCTCTGGGGATAGTCGTCCAGCCAGAAGTGGCTGGAAGTCAGGATGCTGGCATTGCGGTTTGGGAGGTCGAGGGGCAAGGGCTCGCCCTCAGCGATGTAGCCCAGGACCTGTGAGTATGACGGCCGTACGCGGAAGCCGTGCGCACGCCGCTCCTCCATGTCTTTACATGAGGCCGCCATAAACCGCAGAGTCGCTAGTGTTGCGCCCGGCAGCCACGTCGCGGGCCACGCGACGCACGCCCGCCTGCTCGGCGGGGGCCCACCTCAACTGGGGGATTCTCCTGTTAACGGCGTCGACTGCACGCCCCACTTCATCCATATAGGCCTCGCCCTCCTGGCGCTGCCGCCGGTTGGCTAGCCATTCGTTGAAGGCCCGAGCATCGATCAACTGCTGCTGCCGCTTGTAGAGCAGCGGCGTCAAGTTGTAGCTGGGATACTGCTTGTGAAACGCCCGCAGCATCGCGGCCTCATTGCGCCGCTCGGGGAAGGGCATCATCTCTTTTTACAAGTCCATTGTGTTTGCGAGCAGGAGCTCATGGAAGCGGTCGGCTCGCGAGAGCTGCTTGGCGCGGCGAGCCTCCGAGGGCGTCATACGCACGGGTTGCTGGGGCTCAGGCGGGGGCTCTTGTGCTCGCTCCTGGTGGGGCTCTTGCTGCGGCTCCGGTGTCGGCGGCTCAGTATGCTTCGGAAGCTCCGCCACGGCCACAGTCGGGGGCGGCTTTGGCTTGTTCTTCGAACCTGGCGGTCGCCCTCGCCGTTTGGGTTGGGGCGCTTCCTGAGGAACCTCGGTCGGCGGCTCGGCCACCACGGCAGGCTCGGCAGGGTCGGGAGGCTCGGCCACCACCGGCTGCGCGGGAGGCTCGGCCACGGCGGGCTCGGTGGCCACAGGAGCGGGTTCATCCTCAGCCATTTTCTTTTCCAATTATTTTTTTTATCGTTCGGTGTCCAGAAAAACCACAAAGGAAATGCTGGTGCCTCTGGTGTTCACGATGTTGCCCTGGTAGTCGGTGAGCTTGAAGCGCAAGTGACGCAGAGTTATGGGCCCGTGCAGCTGAACCCAGTGCCCCTCTGACGTCTCGGTCTCCATGACGTGGCCCACACCTTTCGAAACGACTATTTTGCAGAGGATGTCGTGCCCCAACGGGCCCACTGTCGTCTCCCCGTTGGCCAGTGTTGGGCACCTGAGGTACAGTTCTGAGAACGGATTCATCGTCACAAAGACGAAGCGCTGCACAGAGCCTGTGAGGTAGCTGGGGCCAAGGAGGTGGTTGATGGACAGGGCTTTGCTGGGCGAGGCGCCCGGCGGGTAGGGGGCCGTGCCTGGGAAGCGTTGCCGGAGCTCGGCATCGTTGAGGATGAGGCGCACGCCGTCGTAGGTCACGTCGAGCTCATTGGTCTCGGCGGTGTAGCTGGCGGAAGCGAAGTTGCTGCTGATCCACGCAGCCAATCGCGGCCCTGTGTACGCCCCCACCGGGAGCTCCGCGTAGTGCAGGGTGCCGGCCACCGTGTCCTCCCAGTACAAGAACGTCCCGCGGTCCGTGCTCAGGAAGGCGTCGGCAACACGGACCTTGTACACCGCAAGTTTGGCGCCGGATTGAATGTGCACACTCTCACCGATGTCGAAGGAGAAGCTGCTGTTCGTGCCCTCCGCGCGGAGGCGCGAGTCCACGTAGATACTCGTCATGCCCTTTTTAGAACGGCGCCTGAAAAACCGGGTCGGCCGCGCCGAGAACTCGCTGGCGTTGGACCCGTCGGAGGTTTGCCGGGGCCTCTCTGGCGGCGGCCAGTGGCTGGGGTCGTAGATGCCCTGCGTGCTGGTGCAGCACCTTATGTTGCTGCACTCACTTTCGCACATCGGGCCTCCCCCCAACAACTTGGCCGCCATCTGGCTCAGGAGCGTCCCCATTTAGCAAGAACTTCCGGTCGAAGCGCACCCAAAACATGTCTTCCTTGGGAGCGCGGAGGTTAACGAACCAAAAGCTGTAGGGCTCCCTGGTGGCCTCCTCGTACATGGCGTAGAGGGTTTCTTTCGGGAGCATGGCGCTCAGCTCCTCCACCAAGGCATCCAGCTCCAGTTGGTTTCGCAACCGGAAGACGCAGTAGAACATGACGTTGACCCGCACGGCGGAGCTCATGAGCCGCAGCTTCTGGGTGCTCACCCAGGTGTTGATGCAAAAATGTCTGCCCCTGATGAACAGGGTGTCCAAAACGCCATCTCCCGTCTTGCGGTGCGCCGCAGCATTATCGGCATGGTCATCTAGAACGACCAAAACCTGGTACAGCTTCTTGAGGCCCAGCTCCTTGCTCTTCTGGGTGATGCGCTTCTAGTCGGCGATGATCTTCACCCCCCGAGAGATCCGGGAATTCTGCCTTTGGCGCCAGGCCCCGATGTTCTACGTGGACTGCCAGGGCCGCCTGCTGGACAAGTACGAGCCTACCGTCAAGGAGCAGCGGGCCGTGGCCTTCACGAGCTGGAACGGCCACGCCTTCTTCTACAAATCCGCCCGCACCGTCGCGAAGTGCGAGCCGATCGGGGAGCGGGCCAGGTACCGGGGCGAGAGGAAGCCCGGCGAAACGCCCGAGTTCAAGGATTGGCGGGAGTGGGAGGACCTGGAGCAGGTCCGGAGGGAGCTCCTGGCCGAGGGGCACTGCCCGAAGGTGGTCATGCGAAGCATGAGCGAGTGGCGGTGCCTGCGGCTGAGGGTGCGGGGCGGCGAGGACTGTGTCATCTCCGCCTTCCACGAAGACCTGGATGTGCTGCAGGCCTGGATGGGGCGGCTGGGGCTCCCCTATTGCGGGCAGCGTCTGGCGGGCGCCGCGAGCGAGGTCTTCCTTCACCTTCTCAAGGCCCGCCGCGATCCGCCCGGATCTCGGCAAGCCCTGCTCGCGGAGCAGGACCATCAGTGCAAGCTCTGCGCGGCCCCCATCACCGCAACCACGTGCGAGTTGGACCACATCGTCCCCGTGCACCAGTCCTTCGCCGCACAGGCCCAGAACCTCCAGGCACTGTGCCTCGAGTGCCACCGGAACAAAACGGGTCTGGAGTCCTCGCACGCCACGACACTGGAGTCGCGCTTCAGCCGGCGGGCTTACGAGCAGTACGTGGAATCGCCTCGACTCCCGCCGCTCGTCTTCAAGCTCAACAGCCACAAGCCGGACCACATCTGCCACGGTATAGACGTGGTGCGGTGCCGCAAGAACGGTCTGGCCCATGCCAAATTCCCGGCGCCCATCTTCTGCCCCAAGAACAACGTGGAGCAACCCCGCGAAGGGCACCTGGCGGACCTGACCTACGTGAGGCTCCGGGAGGACGGGCGTTGGGCGGTGTTCAAGCAACTCCCCTACGTCGGCCAGGGCTGGTACGCCAAGCCTGCGGTGGCCTACATGCTGGAAAAGGGCCTTGCGACATGGAGTGACTTCGTGTACAGCCTGGACGCCACGGCGCACGTGGACCAGGAGTCCGTGGCTCAGGCCCTGCAGAAAATGGAGGCGGCTTGGCCGGAGGGAGAGGAGCACTACGCGAAGCTGTCGGTGAATGCCCTCATCGGGCTGTGGGCACGCAACATGAACCTCATCTACACCATGCGCACCAGCAACCACCAGTTCGACGGGTCCGGGTGCCAGCACCGGGAGCTGTTCCTGGACGCCGCGGGTGGGATGCACTGGGATCACATCTACGTGACCCAGTTGTTGTCCAACCGGAGCTGCCGGCCTGTGCACGACTTCGTGATGGCCTCGGAGTACGTCGCCGTCTCCAGAATCCGGGATGCACTCGCAACCGTGCCGTCGAGGTAGCTGAAGGCCGTCAAAGCGGACTGCGTCGTCTTCCAGGACCTGCCCAAAAAGTTCCAGGGCCTTGTAGACAGCCTGGTCCGCGAAAGGCACCCCGACGGCACGCCCGTGTACCGATGCGAGGAGGTCAAGGGCCTCGAAGGCCAGTATCGGATCCCCCGAATCGAGGCGGAGTGGATGTGCAACATTGACACCTGGAAGGTCGCGGAGGACCCTCTCCTCCACTGCCTCGAGGGCGGGAGCCTGCTGCTGACCGGCTACCCGGGCACCGGGAAGACCCACCTGGCGCGCCAGATCGTGACCGCCCTCCGGGAAGAAGGGTACAAGGTGAAGATCATCACGAAGACCCACTCCTCCGTGCAGAACTTTGGCATGCAGGCGGAGACGGCCGACCACTGGGTGCGGAGCACCGTCCGGAACGGCTACTGCAACATCGACTGCCTGGTGGTGGAGGAGATTACGCAGCTCGACACGGGGCTGTGGAACCATCGCCTGCGTCTCCATGAACCGCAAAGTCAAGTTCCTGCTGCTTGGCGACTTCCGCCAGTTCCCCGCCGTCATGGACAACTTCGCGGGCACCCCGGTGCAGCGGGAGCTCAAGCACTGCCAGCTGCTCCACGACCCCATCATTGCGCAATGCCTTCGATTGTCGGGAGCGCTGCAACATGTTGACCTTGCGAATATGTTGGCATGCCCGGTTCCGCAGTTAGATAAAGCAAGGCTCTCGGAGTCCCTGGTAGGGTATGGTTTCCTGACCACTGCCCAGTATATTGCGGATCTTTTCTTCGCGGTGGCGGATATGCCGAGCGTCATCAACGCCAGCTTTCCGGCCATGATGTGCTACTCTGACCCGGATTATTGGCTGGGTGCGCTCCTGCTCGCATTTGAGTCCCACCAAAAAGGCCCCCTGGAGCGCACTGCCGGACTGCCCATTGTTGTGGGCTTTCCCGAATCCGACCACAAGATTACTGACCTCCAGGTCAATGTGCCGCCAGCGGCCATGGTGGCTTTCCTTGCCGGCCGCGCTTATCGGCTGCCCACATGCCCTACAACCAAGTATGCGGTGGACCCAAGTAGCGGACTCCCTCAGGTCAGTGGGCAGGTGTCCCAGGAGGCCTTGCAGGCATGGGCGGAGGCCGCCAAACACACGGAATTTCGCTGCAGGGCTCACAAAGCGCCGATACCAAGAGTTTAAGCCGGAGTTGCCCCCTGCCCATTTTCTTGAGGCCATCAGGCTCGCCCTAGCAGCCTCGGTGGCCAATCAGAACATTGAGCACTTTTGGTCCGTCTTTAACCTGGAATGGCCCGACACTACTGCTCGGATGGCTGTGTTCCTCCGGCGTGTGCTGCCCTTAGAAAGCCTGCTTGCCTCGTCCCGTGGCGAAAACGCGGGTGTGAACGAGATCCAAACCTCGCCGGATGTGTACAGTGTCTCTTCCGACACGGAAGCTGTGTCTCCCGCATCGATGGAGGACCTGGCAGAGGAAGCGGACGAACCAGAGGCGCAGGTGCACGATTGGCGTTTCTCTGAACTGCGAACTACTGACCTTGCGGCCTTGCGAGAAGTTGATGTTGCTGCTCCTTTTCGGCTGCCGGTCATTGACGATGAGCATTGGAAAGGGCGCGCAACACCTACTAAGCATGGACCCCAACGTTCCCGGAATGCGTGGTATGATGCTGCCACTGCTCATTGGGCTGCCCTCAAGGGGCTCGCAAGATCCAAGCATCCAACTAAGCAGCAACTCAACAGCTTCTGGTTCAAGCTGTACTGCCATGGCACTCCCAAGGAGCCCGAGCCCTCGGCCCTCGCTGCCGCGCTTACCACCTTCCCCTTTCAGTATCGGGACGAAGGTGTTGTGCAATATCGGCAAATACAGGACGCCATCCGGACGATGTGGCATGCAGCCCAAGCCTCAATGAAACGGCACATAGGGGGCTCCATCCCAACTGGCATCCCTGAGTGGGGGGTTAGCGAGGAGGAGTTGCCACAAGTATGCGTCAGGCCTCGTGATGCCGCCAGTGACGAGGATTTGAAAGTGGCCGAAGGTACTAAGCCGGTTGCCAAAAAGTCAGGAAGACGGGCCCATACTGTCTCTGCAGGCTACCGCCCACGACGCCCTGGGAAGGCCCTTGGCAATAATCCCTCACACCCACCTGATTGCATGGGTGGGACCACTGGACTGTATTATCTGAATCGGTAGCTGTCGCGACTCAATGGCTTCCGTCCTGGGAGCCTCCAGGGAGCCTGCTGCTCTTGACTGCGGCTCGCGGCTGCCCCACTGGCTGACCACCATGGGAGCCCTGGGCTGGTCTGCAGTGCTCACTTGTAAGTCCCCAGTGGCTGACCACCATGGGGCGCACGGACGCTTGTAATAGGAAGTTTCCATGGCACCCCAACCTGCGTCGGCGAATGTGGTGAGGTGTACAACTTCAAGGCGCTTGAGCCCTCGGCCCTTGTTGTTGACCCTGCCGTCTCCTCTTGCCTTGCGGAAGGAAGGATTCGTGCAACATTGGCAAACCCTGAGGTCCACTGCTCCGCTATGTGCAAGGACTGGTGTTTCCCCCAGTGGAATCGGTCGCTACTGATGCGCATTGACCTCCCTTCTGGCTGGTTGATGCAACTTGTCGGGACGGGGACACCCTTCTGGGTGGGCGCTGCGGTGAGCCTAATGGAGCGGAGAGCCTCTCGCTCGGGGCTGCTCCACTGGCTGACCTCCATGGAGTACTCTGGGCTGGTCTTGCCTTGATTGTTCATCGTGTTATGTCCAAGGTAAGACTGCCCAGTCTTCCTCTCCTCTGGCCCCGTCAGCCGGGTCGGTTGCTCCATTTCTGTGCTATGGCCTTACGTGAACCCTTCGGCCTTGAGACCCAACAACCGCCAACCCTGGTTGCCCCGCTGCTCATCGCTGGACAAGACGACACGTGATTCACGTGCTGTCACGGCAATGTGACCCGCCCTTCTGTAATATCTCGGCTGAGTGCCGACTCTGGAAAGACCAATACTGCGGTGCTTTCTTCCAGACTGTGGGCACTTCTATGTGGAGAATTTACACCCACTGCCATGGCAGGGAGCCATTGAGCACCTGTGCACTAACCTGGCCTTCAAGAGGGTCATCCTCGTCTGTGCTTGGCCTGCGGCGGCACAGCTGTTTCGCCGCTTGCTTGGCTGTAACCTGATGGCTCTGATTGGATCAAAGCAGTTTTACCATGGAGATCCTTGCGCTTCGGCACGCAAACGTGATGTGAGCCCTCCCGTCTCCTTCCCGACGTACCTCGTGGGTTACGGTTAGGGTTTGGAGGGACCTGATGCAGACTGATGCGCAGGCCAACGCAAAAGCTGTGT